TAAATAAATAAATAAATAAAAAATAAATAAATAAAGGTAGGAGATCAAAATCCTATGACAATTGCCTCACAGTGTCCATGGTGTCGTACATTACTACACTCAGATCCTCCTGGCAATCGTATTTAAAGCCCACTCGCGGTCTTATTTCTGAGCTAGACGAGCATAAAAAATACTTACGTCTTTACCTCTCTCTCTCCCTTCGCGTCTCTTATTAGTCTCGATTGCGTAAGCAGCGAGACTCATATCTGCAACGCGTTTTTCGTCGTATTTAGGGGTCACTGTGCCAGGCGTTCCTTGAGGAGACCGTGGAAACTGGGAATAAGAATCGTTGCGTGATCGAAGCCACGCATGTTTTGCGAAGAAAGCTTAGGAAAGATTAAATTTAGAGCTTTTCAGACGTGTCGGTCCACTAATTCTATCGCCGAAAATAAATCGCGTGCTCATCACAAGACCCATTTGACTTCAATGAAAGTTTACAACACCCCACCATCGCAGTATTCTCATTTTTTTTCGACCACTCAGTAGTGTTCACTTGTTCCAAAGTAATATTGAAATGACGTGCCATGTAAATCATCTTTTTGATCTCTGCCAATGATGTAATTTCTCTGGAATCGAGGCCCTTGAATTTTCGTGTATTTATACATGCGTATAGCCTGCGACCGCAGACGTATTTCCGGTCGTCGCTAACACGTGTACTAAATCAATTCAGAGACAAATAAAAAGTACCGACGACGTTAAAGTAGGAAGTAAAAAACCTTTAGCGAGTAAATCCTGTTTCGTGTAGAATTCATCGCCTCCCTATTTCTCGATCGAATCTCGAAGCAAGCTAGACTGGACGCCGCTGTCAGAGCGTTCTTGTTAGACTTGGTTCATAGAGAAATAATCACTCAAATCGCTCCTTAACTGACCTCTCAAACCTCCACCAATCTTTATTTTCTTAGTCCCAAAAAATGCCAAACTTCATGAAATTCATACTTCCATATTTCGGATACATCCGTGGAAATGCGGAATCTTTGCTCTTATCCTTCGGTGCTGCCATATATGGGCCATATAGGTATGTGCCACTGCGAAGGGTATGGTTTTCAAGCTGTTAACTCTGGGATAGGGTGTATAAATCAAAGAGTTTAAATCTAGAATTGGGTATCATTTTCCAAGAAACTGATCAATCTGTTGAAGATTTTAGTGAAACCCGGAATTGCCACTCAAAAATATAAAAAGATCAAATCGGCATGTTTAAATTTACGCAACTCAGCCTAAAAGCTACTCTAGAATTGGGGGGGGTGGGGGATTTGGGGAGTTTAGTCTAGAATAGGGTAGCAAATTTCAGCTGAACTACAATCACAGACAAAAGTAATTGGGAACGTTGTACAATTTAACAATACTCTATTTTAATCCTCCAAAAAGAGAGTTTTCTCTTTTGCTAAATATCCCCTGTTCCCCTTATTCAATGTTGGGATATAAAAGAACAAGTACGCGCACAAACATTAACGTTTTGCTCAGCATTGGGCCAGGGGCGGGAAGAGGAAGGAAAAAAAAGAGGTAAAAAAAGCAACCTTCCCAACACTTTTCACGATGATTGTAGCTTTGGTATAGGCTAGGGATGCCAAGGTCCCAGCGGCACACCCCCACTTAAAAATTCCTAAAGTATCCCTTCGGTTCTACTTTAATGAATCTTTTAACTCTCTGTGGTTTTTGTATGCTAATCAACTATAACTTTCAAGATTTCAGCATAAGTAAACAAGCTTTTTTCCACTAACTTTCATATGAAAGCAAGCTAAAATGTGGTATCTCTTACAGGATCAGAAATTGGTCATGGAATACTCGCAGGAGCAACTGAACTACTTCAGACTCTGCTACGTAGGATTCGATTTGGTTCCAGTAGGACTGCGGCAAATCTTTAAAAAAGAATGGGATTTTCTTTATAAGGCAACTTCATTTGGAGAATGGAAAGATACAGCACAGAATGGTCGTGATTTTTATAATAAAGAATCTAAGAAAAGTCCCAAGAAAAACGCCCGGTACCTAACGACAATACAGAGTGGAAACACGGCAGAGTGGGACTCTTCCTGTTTGTTTTTTGCCATCCTGTACTCAGACAGCGTTGGTACTACCTTAAGTCCAGCTGTCCGGAAAGAGGTCGATGATATTCGTCAGGTGCGAAACGAGATCGCACATATCACGGAAGCTAAGCTGACAGATGCCGACCTCCAAACTTCTATAGTTAGACTGTTAAACGCTTTTACATCTCTTGGTCTTGCAATAACTGAGATCCAAGAAATAAAGAATCAGAAGACCTTTCCAACGAAAGAAGTGGAAACTTTTAAGAGACAAGTTCATGATCTCCAAGATGAGTTAGATCAGACAAAATGTGACCTGAAGGAAACAAAAAGTGCACTTCAGAGTACAGAAGCTGATCTGGTTTCTGCAAAAGAAGAAAACAAGGCTCTCACGCAAGAAATTAGTGCGAAACTTCAACCTTTTTGCTTTCTCGCGTCGACACCACCACACGATATCATCAGGCGTTCTCATGACATTAGAAGAATTACAAAGAAAATGAAAGAACTTTCCAGTAGTGCCAATGGAGGAGTTAGTACTGTGTATTTGTCAGGAAATCCAGGATGTGGTAAGAGTCAAATTGCACGGGAAATCGGACAACAGTTTTTTTCTGAACGAACGGGTGACGTTGAAAATCTGATTTTTGTTTCGACGCTGAACGCAGAAAGCATCGAGACACTTGCTGCTTCTTACCTGACTCTTGGAAGACACCTAAGGATAACAGAATACTCCTTGTCAGGGTTAGAATCTTTAAAATTAGAGAAGCCTCTTGAAGCAGTTCAACAGCTCCATCGTTTGATTTTGCCCAAGGTCACTAAGTTTACCAAATGGATGATTATAGCAGATAATGTGGTTGAGTTGCGTTCAGTTAACGCCTTACTACCTCAAACCGGTAGTAAAGAATGGGGAAATGGTCAAGTGCTGATTACTACTCAAGATAGCACTACAATTCCTCATAACGCTCCTCATACATATCATGAATCATTAAGTAAAGGAATGAGGCTGGACGAAGCAGTAGAATTATTGGAAAAAGTTTCACAAATTTCAGACCGAGAGCAAGCAGAAAATGTCGCCGATTTTCTCGATTTTCAGCCCCTGGCCTTAGCTGCTGCTGCTTTCTACGTGCAAACAGTTATTAGCAGTGGGTCTTCAAAGTATGAATGGAAGGCATACCTCCGCGACATATCAACATACGGTCAACGAAGAGAGGTTGAAACTGTCCTTGCGAATGAGAGTTTAGCCTACGCTACAACAACAATGGCTGCCGTAGAAATGGCCATGGAAAGAACTGTAGACACCGATAAAGTTCTTCGTCACGCATTCTCCTTTCTTTCGCTGTGCGCTCACGACGATCTCCCACTCGAAGCTGTTTCAAAGTTCGTCGAAGCGCAAACAAAAGACCAGCCGGAGGAGTTGATCAAGGCAAAGATTGTTAGGTCTTCTTTAGTTCTTGTTCATTCCGAGAAAGGAGATGAACGTAGATATATTCGCTTGCATAAAATTGTTTATGAAGCTTTGATTCGAGGCGAAGTCCTCAAGCTAACATCAGCGGAGATTAATTGCGGCTTGGCCGAAGCAGGAAAGATTTTCAAATCCCTGTTTGAAGAAAATAACGAGGATTATGCGATTTTTAGGACCCTGAGGCCCCACTGTGAATCTTTACTTAAGCACATGACACCAAATTGCAGTTCTGATCAGCTGAGAACTTTTTTGAGAACGTCGACGCCTTTTGTAGATTTGAATATGGTTGCCGATTGGTTGAGGCGTCTTGCTTCAATCTGTTGCCATTTTTGTGATTTGTTGTTTGCTAAAACTGTGGTCGATTTAGGATGCGACTTGCTAGAGGACATAGAAGATACTGACCCAGGTGCCTTTTTAAAAGGGGATATTTTTTGTAGCAGTGGCCAAGTGTACGATAGGATTGGAAAATATATTCAAGCGGAAGGATTTCACAAAAAGGCGCTCATGATTCGGAAAAAGATTTTCGGTGAAGATCATACCGATGTAGCATCAAGTTATAACAACTTGGCATCAGTGTACAGCAGCCTGGGAGAATACAATCAAGCCAAAGAACTTCACGAAAAAGCACTGGTGATTTGGAAGAAGATTAACGGTGAAGATCATGTCGATGTAGCTACTAGTTATCACAACTTGGCATCAGTGTATGACAGCCTGGGAAAATACAATCAAGCCAAAGAACTTAACGAAAAAGCACTAATGATTAGAAAGAAAATTTTGGATGAGGATGACCCCCATATAGCATCAAGTTATAACAACTTGGCATCAGTGTACAGCAGCCTGGGAGAATACAATCAAGCCAAAGAACTTCACGAAAAAGCACTTGTGATTTGGAAGAAGATTAACGTTGAAGATCATGTCAATGTAGCAGCTACTTATAACAACTTGGCAACAGTGTACTGCAGCCTGGGAGAATACAATCAAGCCAAAGAACTTCACGAAAAAGCACTGGTGATTTCGAAAAAGATTTTAGGTGAGGATCATGACAATATAGCATCAAGTTATTTGAACTTGGCAAAAGTGTACCGCAACCTGGGAGAATACAACCAAGCCACAGAGCTTATCGAAAAAGCACTGATAATTTGGAAACGGATTTTCGGTGAAGATCATGCTCATGTAGCAACAAGTTATAACGACTTAAGTTCAGTGCACTACAGCCAGGAAGAATACAATCAGGCCAAAGAGTTTCAAGAAAAAGCACTAATGATTAGGAAAAAGATTTTCGGAGAAGATCATCCCGATGTAGCAGCAAGTTATGACAACTTGGCTTCTGTGTACAAAGCCCTGGGGGAATACAATCTAGCCAAAGAATATTCGGAAAAAGCACTAATGGTAAGGAAATGATTTTACGGTGAAGATCATACCCATGAGTTGGCATAACAGTGCGGCGATGAAGTGTTGTCATCAGTGTTGAAAAGGTTCTCGGTCGATCCTTTGGTGAACTTTTCTTTTTTTGAAGAAAGCCCTTCCTTCATTTCGATTTTTTTGTTGTTGAACTGAAACTTTTTCCATATGGATCGCTATTATAACGTGCCGGTAGTTCATTAAAGCGTGAAAGAATTTCCTCGTAAAACGCAGGCAAGTTGTCTGAGATTATCACTTGGTAATTGCGGTTCATTGGAATTCTAAGCACCCATTACCATAGTCTTAAAGAATAGGACATCTCCATGATCTGGAGAGTATTTTATTTAAATCAAATTGATATTACCTTGTACTAACCTTTGACTGAATTCATCGTGATAAATTTTAATGTGTCAAACTATCTCAGACTCTATTCTGTAACACATTTTATATTCCATATCTGGAAAAATCCTATTCCAAGGTCTCTCTTTACTGTGACCTGTTTACATGAGATGAATGCCAGGGAGATTTTCTACTCAGAAAGACCTGATCATGACCCAAGGCACTTTATTTTACAAGATTCCCTGTATCCCTTGGAACATTTCTTAACTTTGTCTTACTGATTTTAAATTCCCCTTGGTCAGCCCTAGGGTTCTCCCTTCCCCCTGCGGGTTTCCTCTCCCCCAACGGGGTCGCCATTGACAGGTGCATAAGGTCCCTTTAGAACTGGTAAGGTAGGACAGGACACATTGATATCGTTGTTCGCTGACTTTAATTACTTCTCGAATCGCGTTGAATGTCCAATATGAGCTACCCTTGTTCCACAGGTTTTATTTCTGTTAGTTCTTTTTCCTAAGAGAGCCAAACAGAATTGGGTCTCGTAGCGGAGACAAAGAGCCTCAAAGCGTCCAAAGAAGTAGACTACGTAGAATAGGCTACTTGCGAGTTCCAAAAACCCTCTAGACTGCAAAACAGTCCGTATTTTTGCGTATTCAAGTACGCGCGAGCAGTCAAACAAAAGGTCTGGAACGAGGCTGAAAACAGAAAGCGAGACTGAGGAGAGACGCTAAAAATACGCCTCACACGCTTCACGCGCGTAAGACTCTTACGCCACGCTTTAACGATTTCTTTACTGATTTTGAGAAAAAAACCGACTGTTTTGCAGTCTAAATACCCTCAGTCAAATGAGTTTTATTTGCATGAGAATGAAAAATCATTTCCAAATCAAAGGCTGAGCACTTAACCTCGTTTTGATACAGAGGCGCGGGAGAACTCGGAAATGGCCTTTGTATCGCGGGTGACTGACCCCACCCCCCTCCCCCTCCCCACCTCCCCCGCCACCACGACCACAGAAGGGCTCATTTTTGTTTATGTCAAGGTGTTTTTACGGACCTGTTTATTTTAAGACACATTTTACGGCACTTTTGCCCGCGAAGATAGAATCTCCACCAGGAAAACTAAACGATATTAAAAGCAAAAAATATCATTTTTAGGTCTGTATGTTTTGATTGGTTTGTGGAATTTAAAACTAAAAGATATTCAAAATTTGCGCCAAAACCGTTCTAAAAATTAAACCGGTCCGTGGAAACGCCGTGACATGAGCGCATGGAGGTTGTTCACTCCGGGTTATGGGTCCCTGGCTTGGTTAATAAAGGATTTAATAAATAGCCAAAAAAAGGAACTCTTCTCTTGCGGGACCAACCCAAAAGCTCCGTCAAGGTGAGCCCTTCTTGCCCGCTCGGGCAACGGCCTATCAAAAAATGGATTCGCTTCATATTGACCGCGTGGGGATTCAGCCATGAAATAAATTGAGATTGCAAATAGCAGTTGATAATTCGTTAATGATTCAGTTTACGTATTCGTAACCGCATTGGCGGATCTGGCCTCGCTGTAAGTCGAACCAAGGGTGTCACAGTGAAACCAGGAATCTCTTCAAATGCAAACTGCCGCAGAAGGCTGATTAAAACGACTTTCATCTCTGCCAAAGCAAACTTGTTCCCGATACAAGAGCGAGGGCCAGCAGAAAATGGTATGAAAGCGTACGGGTGTATGGACGGATGGGTGTCATCTGCAAAGAGAAAAAAAAAAGAAAAGCTGCAGCAATTAAAGATCACCTATATGGCGCGATTTTCCAGTGCAAATATTCCAAAGATCAAACACCAAACCGTCTAAGTGATGATAGGGAGATAAGGGGGAATTAAGAACCGAATGAAGAAAACCGATTTTAAACTTCACTAGCATGCATGATCAGTATCAATGCTATTATATTAAGGGAGTTTGAGCAGCGACATTTTTCAGCGACACAAATCAAGCGGAAGGGAGCCTTTTTCTCTTTTAATGTCTTGACGATACCAAATTTGTATTGCTAAGTGATTTTACTCTTTTAGAGACGATCAAGGCTGAAGAGTGCCGCTTCCACTTCCGGTTGACGTGCGTCGCTCAAAAAAGTTGCTGCTTAAAGGAGCTGTGTCACGAAATTCACCCAAATTAGGAAATTACAAAATGCTAGTTAAATTAAAAGAAACAAAAAAGTAACCACTTGAAAACATTAAAGGAAGGTTAAAATCAGGGGCACCCAACGACAATTTTCGGAAAATATCTGTTCGGAACACGATTTGAGATCTAGAATTTTCGGAACATTTTTTGTAAAATTTCTTGTTTGCCTGCCTCTCCTAGGATTTTCGAACATCTAAAAAATGGGATAATTGCCTATTTTTAACGGATTTTTACCCTAAATAAGGTCACCTAGAATTTTCGGGAGCCTTTTTTCTGGCTGAAATTTTCAAAGAGCTAAGTTTTGACCCTATAATTTTCGGATCACTAGACTTTCAGCTAAGAAATCCGAACAGATAAAAAGTTTTTAGGGGATAAAAATATGCCTATATCTACTAAAAAATACTAAAATACGTTTAACAATGCTATGTTTAAGTGGTTTTGAACTATATTCTCGTTGGGTGCCCCTGTAAAATAACACAACAGATACAACAGATGCCACGGATGGGCAAAACTGAAGAAGATTGAAACGGATTGAAATTAGGGTTTTTGAAAACTGTTCAGCCTAACAGTTTTTCAAAGTTGATCTCTGCCGTTTGCAACTTCAAAAACAATACTCAGGAGACATATTTGTTTGTCTCGAATCTCTGATTTTGTCATTTCCATGTAATTTCTTTGCTTAGTTTAAGTTCCATAGCGATTGAGGGCGAGTAATTGGCAAAATTAAACAAAATAAACCGGACTGCCGTGACACAGCCCCTTTAAGTGTGCTGAAGTTTGTTAAGTGTTAGAGCAAAGTTTGCACTGTATTCTGCTGTTTTTGTTAAGTATTAGAGCAAAGTTTGCACTGTATTCTTCTGTTTTTGTGTTAACGTCTGCTTCAGTTTCTGTACCAGTACGGACATGCCATTTTTAAAAAGATCTCAGAGAAGATTAGCAACACTGAATTTTCCACACCACAGATCACCCAATTTTATAGACTGGATTCTCATCCACGAAAGACTCTCAGTAGATTAAAATTAAAGGGTACAGGGAATGCTGTTTTGTTGGGGCATAGCTCATTATCTGTACCATTATAAAGAGGTACAGGCT